AGGTTCCCTCTTCCCAGATGACTTCACCTTGCATCAAGTTGACAAAAATAACTCGGTACAGAGTAGAAGAAGGTATTACACAAAGCCAAGCAGAACAGAGACATTATGCTCAGCAGGGGCCACGGATAACTACTCTCTGGGTTGACCATGCACTCACATTCCCATTTGTCATCACTGTCCTATAGCTATCGTCATCAACATAGCCATGTCTCCACAGTACTGAGTCCAGTAATCCTCTGTGACAAATGTGATACTGTGGTCACTATAGGACTTGGAAGCAGGTATAACCATCCAAGACCATAGCAGCAGCTTTCAACTCCTGTTTCAGATGCAGCCCCTTTCACGTGTTCCAGGAGCCAAACAACAACAAACTCAGCCCAGGCTCACTCTGGCCATTTCATGTCTTCTCCCGGAGAGGGTCTATGAATGCAACTCCCCTTTGGAATATCCCTTACCCCCATGGAAGCCGGCAAGCTTAGCAAATTTAGCTTCAGCTGTTAACTTGACACAAATATGGAGTCACTTAGGGAAAAGGAATCTCAATTAAAGAATTGCCAAGGTCAAATTGGTCTGTGGCCAAGTCTTCGGCATTTTCTTAATTGGTAATTGATATGGGAGTGATTATCTCATTGTGGTCAGTGCTATCCCTATGCAGATGAGCCTGGGCTATGCATGAAAGATAGCTGAGCAAGCTAGTGGACAACAAGCAAGTAAGCAAAGTCTCTGTTTCAGTTCGTGACTCCAGGTTCCTATTTCGAGTTCCTGCTTTGGCTTCCCTGATGATGGACTATAATGTGTAAGCCAAATAAATGCTCCCCCACCCATGTTGCATTTGGTCAGTGTTTATCATAGCAATAGACACAAACTAGAACAGATTCCAGCAGTCATGGACATCAGTGACTCTTCTGAGCTGATAAAGGCAAAATCCTTCAGGTTGAGCTTATTTGATTTTAAGTCTCACTGTTTCCCATATGTAGTCTGGAACCTCCATTCAAGGGAGGGACACGAGATTACCAACACTGGAATATTTTAGACCTCATGACTGTATTGCCAGTATCCTTGTAACCAACAGGGTATCTAGTAGCTAGAGAAATAAGACAATAGGACACTGTTCGCTTCCCTAGCATAAATTTTCACCCAGTGTGGTGGTTTGAAATAAAATGACCCCCAAAGGGACTGGCACTATTAGGAGGTATGGTCTTGTTGGAGGAAGTGAGTCACTTCAGAGGTGAGCTTTGAGGGCTCATATATGCTCAAGCCACACCCAGTGAGACAGACTACTTCCTGTTGCCTTTGGATCAAGGTATAGAATTCTCCAGCACCACGTCTGCCTACATCCAGCCATACTCCCAGCCTCCATACTCCCTACCATGAGTATAATAGACTAAACCTCGGAAACTGTAAGCCACCACATCAATTAAATGCTCTCCTTTGTACAAGTTGTGGTGGTCACAGTGCCTCTTCACAGCAATAGAAACTCTAAGACACCCAGTCAGAGGATGGCCCACTTTGCCATTGATTATTTGGGGAAGGTACCATGACAACATGTCACTGGTTTGGAAGCCTAAGTGAGGTAAATGGGCTAAGGAGGGAGACTGCAAAGAGTAGTAAACCCTTGTAGATATATGTTGAAGAATAATAGATGACAAAAAATGGGATGATAAAAACTCATTAGGGAAAAGCCCAAGAACAAAGGTTTGATTTTGTTTGAGAAGACATAGGCAACTATTACCTGTAAGACATAGGAAGGATCTCCCTCTTTCTCTCTCCCTCTCCCTCTCCCTCTCCCTCTCTCTCTCTCTCTCTCTCTCTCTCTCTCTCTCT